GGGCGCTGCAGGGTGGAGCGGCCAAGGATCGCCCAATCGCCACAAACGAATACTCTCCCAATAAGATGCCCACAAGCGGAAACGCCAAGAACCGAGATGCCCATACGCGGATCTCCGTGCCCATAAATTATCACTGGGGCACCTCCTTCTTCTATTCCCCCACCCCCCATCTCTCCAATTTCACTCATGCTCGGTCGCATTGAGGCTCGCTTGCACTCAGACTCACTCGCACTAAGGCTGGCACTCAGACTCGAAGGTAGGCAGACCCATCACTCAGGCACACTCCCTTTCAGATGCAGCCGTATTTGCTCAGCTGCTCTCACACTCAGGCTCAGACCCACACGCACTCACACTCAGACTCACACGCACACGCACACACGCACACACACACACACACACGCACACACGCACACACGCACACACAACCACACGCACACAGACACACACAGACACACACACACATGGACAACGACATACAGCCACACACACAGACACACACAGACACACATACACAGCCACACACACAGACACACACACAGCCACAGACACACACACACAGACACACACTGAGACGCACACAGAGACACACACAGAGACACACACAGTGACACACACACACAGACACACACACACACACAACGACACACTCACAAAGATACACACAGAAACACACACACAGGCACACACAGACACACTGACACACAGGCACACACAAACACGCAGACACACAACGACACACACAGACACACCCAGGGACACACAGCGGCATACAGACACACACCGACACACACAAGCACACACAGACACACACAAACACACTAACACACCGACACACACGGAAACATACACAGACACACACAGGCGCACACATAAACACACAGACAATCACACACATATACACGGACACACACAGAGACACACACACAGACACACACACAGGCACACAGAGACACAGAGCCCTGTCTGAGAGAAAGGAAAGGGAAGCTAGCAGTATCCAGATCACGGAGCACAATGGTGCGCACATCTTAGGCTCCAGAGTTAGGTGCAGGGAGTGTGGAGGATCCGCGCCGAGGAGGGAGTTGAATCGTTTCCTCGACACTCCCTGTGTGAAGGGTTTAATGAGAGACGTGGTGCTCTCGCCAGTGGGAACTCAGGTCTTTTTCGGCCGTGAGTTGCATGTGTCACACGCTATCGGAGTCCATCAGAGATTTGGGACTCCGATCTGTTTGCGATGCGGGTTCTATGCACAGAAAGGAGCAAGGAGCCTAATTCTTCCCTGCCAGGGCCGACCAACAGTTCATGGGAGACGGGCCCTGCGCAGGCTTCAGAAAGGTGAAGTACCAGCTGTGCGGTCAAGAGAGACCGACAGAGTTACAGCAGAGAATTAGAAACAGGTTGAGCCAATGGCTGGAACCAGAAAAAAAAGGCACGCGCACAGACACACACACAGCCACACACACACAGCCACACACACAGAGACACAGACACACAGACACACACACAGACACAACTACAGTCCCACACACAGACACACAAACACACACACACAGAGACACACACACCGACCCACACATAGACACACACAGACCCACACACAGACACACACACATGCGCACACAGGCACAAACTGAGACACACAATGAGACACCCACTGAGACACACACACAGAGACACACACAGAGACACACGCACACACACACCGACACACATAAACACACACAGAGACACACGGGCACACACAGACACGCAGGCACACACAGACACACACAGACATACACAGACAATCACACACAGGCATACGCAGACATACAGACACTCACAGACACACAGAGACACACACAGGCACACTGAAACAAACACAGACACACACATAGACACACATACAGACACACACACATATAGACACAGACACACACAGACACACACACAAACACACACAGACACACACAGGTACACACAGACACACGCAGACGCACACAGGCACACAGAGACACGCACAGACACACAGACACACAGACACGCACAGGCACACACACAGAGACACACCGACACAGACGCAGACACAGCCGCAGAAACACACAGACACACAGACACACACAGTTACGCACACGCACAAACACACACGGACACACAGGCACACACGGACACACACACAGACACACACACACAGACACATACACATATTCACTCATACTCAGACTCCTTCGCAGTCAGGCTCACCACCACAGACAACTCACATTCAGGCTCGCCCCATACTCAACTTGCGAGGATGCATTTAGCGAGGCGCGGGCTTCAGCGCCCCAAGGCCCGATGGGGGAGCCGCCAGAGTGTATTTCACGGGCCCCTTCGCGCCCAGATTGTAAGGATGGTTCAGGCGGTTTGCCTGTTCGGTGGCTTGGATTTCGGTGCTTTCAGAACAGAGTGTGAGGATGCTTCGAGCGGGGCGCTGGTGCCAGCAACCTAAGGGGTGGTCGCCAGGGAGTCTTGCACGGGCCCGATCGCGCCCAGACTGTGGGGATGTCGCAGACACACTCACACCTTCCCTCGCTTCTCCTCAGTCTGCGGCGAGCGAGGGGGGGAAGCGAGGAGGAGAAGACCTTCTCAGAAGGTTCGGAAGTCCCCCAGACTTCTGAGAAATTTTCCAAGCCTTCCCCGAAGACAGAAAAGAAAGCTTCTCAGACGGCGCCAGGGCTGCTGAGAAGTCCCGCCGCCTTCTGAGAAGACCTTCTCCCTCTCATTTCCCCCCGTCGCTCGCCGCCGACTCCGACGATTCATTCACAGTCAGACTCAATCGCTCATGTCGAAGCTTCTCGAGTGGGGCGCGGCCGACGAAAGTGGCCAAGGATGGACCGAGGAGGCAAGGATGCAAGGGTACCCTTGGGAAGGTTGCCCATCCTCACTATGCGGGTTGACTGAGCACTCAAACCTTCCCTCACTTCTCCTCCGACTCGTTCACAATCAGACTCGCTCACTCTCAGGCTCACTCTCCGGCCCGGATATCGCACAGGCCCGTGTGCACACGGAGTGTGTCGGGGGACCTCTCTGGCGGGTTCGCCCGTTTGGTGGCTTGGACTCCTGAGTTTTCAAAGAAAAGTGTGAAGATGTTTCGAGCGACGGCGGATGGACTGAAAGTTTCCACACGTGTTTCGCCAAGGCCTTGAGTCATCAAAGCACGTCGGACCAACATGTATATACCCCCTTCCCCCGAATGCAGAGCTGACGGGGGGCTGGGCGGTGGGCCGAAAGCCAGGCACAACATGTGGACACTTCACCTTTGGGTTTTTTTTTTGGGGGGGTGCGACGAAGCAAGGGCACTTCGCCATTGTGGCTGCTATCATGTGTTGCATCGCCTTACCGCCATGGGTGTGGACACCTCTTGTCCGGGCGCGGGAGGCGTTGGTTTCGGCCTCTCCAGCCGGGGAGCCTCCACGGGGTACAGTCGGGGCGTTGACCTAAGGAACCCTAAATCAGGAACGAGGCCCTTTTTTTCCATAAGTTAAACGTCGATCTCCCATCGAAAGCATAAGGAAAACCCGGGGCAAGCTGTGAAACACTTACGGAACACGGAGCCCCTCCGCAACAAAAAGGGTTTCTTCTTCAGCGACCCGACTGTATTGCACGTGCCCTTTCGCGCCCAGGTTGTGGCGCTGTTTTGAGCGGTCTGCCTGGTTGGTGGCCTGGGCTTCGGAGCTTTCCACGCAAATGGTGAGAGGATGTCTCGAGCGAGGCGCTGGCTTCACAGCACCCCGAAGGAGAGCCGCAAGGGGGTGCCGTGCGGGTCCGATCGCGCCCTGATTGTGGAGATCTCTCGAGTCGTTTGCCTGTTGGGATGGCTCGGGCCTCGGAGCTATCCGAACAGCAAAGTGTGGGGCTGCTTCAAGCGAGGCGCTGTTTCAGCGCCCCAAGGGGAAGCCGCCAGGAATATTGCAAGGGCCCGGTCGCGCCCAGATGGTGCGGATGTTTCACATTCGCTCAGGCCCACCCTCACTTCTCAGACCCACTCACGTTCGGACTCACTCACGCGGACCACTCACACTCCGGCCCGCTTCGCATTCATCTTGTCAGGTGTTTCGAGCGAGGCGCTGGTTCCACCGCCCCGAAGGTCAGCCGCCAGGGGATATTGCACGGGCCCGTTCGCGCCCAGATTGTGGGGATCTCTCACGCGGCTTGCCTGCTTGATGAGAACTGGTCCATGGGGAGGGTGTCGAGGTGTCCGGGGGCCCCCTGTTGCGCAAACAGCGAAATCCAGGCACGTCCACGCGAGTCACCTCGAGGAGGGTCGCCACCTCCTCCCCCGAGGAGAAAGGGGCATGACCCCTCAAGACGCCCCCCCCGCGCCAGAAGCACCCACAGCGCCTGAAAATCTCCTGCAGGCGACCCTCGCAGGAGCGTTGGGCAGTGATGTCAAGCCTGCTGCTGGGCTGGGCTCCTGGGCAAACGCACCAGGCCCCCAGTCCAGCAGGGCAGCCCGCAGGAATAGCCACAGCCACAGCACATACATAGGGTGGCAGAGGGTGGGTTGCGGCGCCGCCAGCTCTCCCTTCCTGTGGGCAGCGCAGCGCCGCGCGCTCCATGACGGAAAGCCTTCCCGTCCTGCGGGGGCTCTTCCTGTCACAGCGCTGCCTCCCGTCCTGCGGGAAGCTCGGCCTCGCTGCGGAGTGCCTCTCCCGTCCTGCGGGACATTCTCTCTGCTGCGGGGCGTCGCCCCGCTGCTGCGACGTGCTGAACACGGATCGGAGCATCCGCAGCGAGGAGCGCTCTCCACCGCACATCCCAGCCACCAACCAGCCAGCCAGCGAAGAGGAGGAAGACGGAGGCGAGCGGGAGGTGAGGCCGCTCGGGCGCGTGAGCCGCAGCCCCCTGTTGGAGGCACCCAGGCAGAGAGCTGCGCCTGCAACTCAAAGCGCCCGACGTCGCATTCTTTGAGGGCTGCCAAAAGGCTAAGAGGCCAGGAAGCGAAAAGGCACCCATTTGGCACCGGTCCACCTTGGGAGATTTTCCTGCCCCCAAAACCGCTGCGCGATTTCGGGGCTATGAAAATCTCCTGCAGGCTGCCCTCGCAGGAGCGTTGGGCAGTGATGTCAAGCCTGCTGCTGGGCTGGGCTCCTGGGCAAACGCACCAGGCCCAATGCACCCAGGGCCCAGCCAAGCAGCTGCCGAGGCAGACCCGCGTCTGAGATAACACCGGGCCCAATGCACAGACAAGGCGTTGCTTGGGAGATGCTTGGGCTGCGCGCGCGCGCGTAGAGAAGACGAGCTGTCTTCTGCGCGCGCTCAGGGTGGTGCACGTCCGCGGGCCACATCGCTGCGCGGCCGGCTTCGGCTCCGCTTGACCGTTTGCGCGGCCTCGCGCATCGCCTCCGCGCGCTTCCGCCGCGCCCGCGCCTGTCTGCGCGCGCTTCCGTTTGCCTGAACGCGTAGGCGCTGGCGCTATCATTTATGCTACTACGCGCCTTTGCGTGCCTCTGTGCGCTGCTCGGTATGCGCGAGTGTGCGCACTTCTGCATACTTCGGCGCGCTATTGCGCGCTATTCCGCGCGTCTGTGCGCTCCTTACGTTTCTGCGCGCGTCTCCGCGCTTTTGCGCCTGCCTGCGCGCTCTGAGTGTATCAGCGTGCTTCTTTTACTCTTCTGCGCGTCTGTGTTTGCTTCTGCGCGCATGTGCGCTTTTGCATGCTTCCCGCGTTCTGCGCGCCTGTCCGTGCTTCTGCGCGCCACCGCGCGTTCCAGCGCGCTCCATCGCGCTTTCGCGCGCCTCTGCGTACGCTTTCTGCGCGCCTGTGCATGTCTGCGCGCCGCAGCATACCTGTGCGTGCTTCCGCGCGTCTGCGCGCGCTCCTGCGCGCCTGCGCCCGCCTGCTTCCGCGTCCTCGGGCGCCCCTGTGCAATCGCGCATGCCTGCGCGCGCTTCCGCGCGCTGGTGCGCGTCAGCACGCTCGAATGCGTTTATGCTAGCCTCCGCGCGCTGTTGCGCGCCTGTGCGCGTGGTCGCGCTTCTGCGCGCTTGCGCGCGTTTCTGCGCCTCTGAGCGTTCTTGCGCACTTACGCCTGCGCGCCCTTCCGCGCGTGAGTGTTCAAGCGCCCTTGTGCGCTTCTGCACGTCTTGGCGCGCGAATCTGCGCGCCTGTGCGGGTTTACGCGCCCCTGTGTGCTCGCGCCTGCTTCTGCGCGCCACAGCGCGTGCCCGCTGCATGCCACGCTTCTGCGCCTCAGTATGCGTTTTGCGCGACCGCGGGCGTTTTAGCGCGGCCGTCCGCAACTCTGCTCGCGCTTTCGCGCGCCTGCGCACACGTTCGTCCGCCCGCGCCCCCGCGACACCTGCGCGGGCTTTTGCGCGCCTCTGCGCGTTCCTGCGCGCGTGCGCGTTCTATCTGCGCAGCTGTGTGTTTCTGCGCGCCTATGCAGGTTTGTGCGATTCTGCGCGTTTATATAGCGCTTCCGCGCCTGGGCGTGTGTTTCGCGCGCCTGCGGGCGTTTTAGCGCATCTCACGGCAACTCTGCGCGCCTCTGCGCACTCCTGCGCGCGCTACGCGCTTGCGGCATCGTCGCGGGACTTTACGCGTCTCTGCGCGTTTTTGCGAGCCTGCAAATGCTTTTTGCCCAGTTGGGCGCGTCTGCGCGCCTCTGCGTGCGCTTCAGCGCGCCTCTGCACGATCGCGCGCCTCTGGGACTCCTGTGCACCCGTCTTTGAGCGCGCGCCTGTGCGCGCTTTCACGCGCTTCTGCGTCTCCACACGCCTTTGCGCGTTCCAACGCGTCCTGCGCGTCTGCGCGTGTTTCTGCGCGCTTGCGCGTGCCTGCTCACCTCTGCGTGCGTGCGCGCGTTTACGCGGCCCTGCCCGCGTGCGCGCCTGCGCCCGCGCGCGCCTGCACGTTAGCGCGCGCGTCTACATGTCCGAGCGCGCCTCTGCGCACTTTTGCGCGTCTCTGCGCGCTTTTGCACGCTCGTGCGCGCGCTCAGCGCAGTTGCGCGTCTGTGTGCCCGTGTGCGCAGCGCCTGAACCTGCGCGCGCTTCACCGTGCGCACGCCTAAGTGCGCTTCCGCGTTTCTTCGCGCCTCTGCGCGCCTCCACGTGCGCTTGCGCGTGCCTGCGCAAGCACGTGTTCACGCGCTGAGTGCCGCCGCGCGCCGTCCCGCACTGCTGAATTGCACCCGGATCTCCCGTCTGGGCGCGTGAGCACAACATTGCGCTCGGATGGCCCGTCTGGGCGCGCGAGCGCGGAATCGTTTTTTCTTAGGAGGCTGTGCATTCGGGAAATGTGGTTTTCGCGGCCACCCCATCTCATTCGTTTTCTACGCGCGCAGGCCTGGGAGGCGGCGCCGCGCGTCTCGCGGTCCTCTTCCGGTTGGGGGTTGATCGTCCCCACGCAGCCGAGATCTGCGTCCTCCGTCGACGCTGCTCCTGTCTTCTATCGAGCGGGAAATTTCTGCAACCCTGTGACCCTCAGGGCCGCCTGTCTACAGCCGATTCGCGCGGAGCAACTTCAATCAGGCTGCCCATGCGGATCCACTTTTCGCGCCAGGGCGCCCGTCGTTGAGCAACCCTGTGACGCTCAGGTGCCGCTCTTCCTGTTCTGGTTGACGCGGAGCTGGGGGGGGGGAACCCCCTCTTGTTTCGTGGTTGGGCAAGCGCGGATCGCCCAGATCGGCGCCTGAAAACCATCGCCGTCCACGCGAGAACGCCCCGTCGTTCAGCCACCCGTCGTCGGGCTTGTCGGACTCCACTTCGGGATTGGTGCAAGCTCGCTTCAGCACTACTAGCAACCCTGTGACGCTCAGGTGCCGCTCTTCCCGTTCTGGTTGACGCGGAGCTGGGCGGGGGGAACCCCCTCTTGTTTCGTGGTTGTGCAAGCGCGGATCGCCCAGATCGGCGCCTGCAAACCATCGCCGTCCACGCGAGAACGCCCCGTCGTTCAGCCACCCGTCGTCGGGCTTGTCGGACTCCACTTCGGGATTGGTGCAAGCTCGCTTCAGCACTACTAGCAACCCTGTGACGCTCAGGTGCCGCCCTTCCACTTCAGGAGGGCGCGGAGCTGGCGGGCAACGCAGATGCGACTCGGGAGCGCGGATTTCCCATTTCCGCGGGCGGCCAAACCCATCAGCGACACCGACTTCGTTGGTCGGATTCCGCGTCGGATTCCCGCCGGCATGCTTGTGACCTTCAGCAACCCTGTGACGCTCAGGTGCCGCTCATTCCCTTCGGGATGATGCGGAGCAAGCGGGTAGCGAAAATCCTCATCTGGGTTCGCTGCTCGGGGGCGCAGGTGTTGGTTTCTGGGGGCGACCAACTCTACGCTGGCTTCGCGGCCGACGCCAGCTTCCTCATCAGGATTCGTGGCGCACGCCCCGTGCCGATTAGCAACCCTGTGACGCTCAGGTGCCGCTCATTCCTTTCGGGAGACGCGGAGCGGGCGGGTAGCGCAAATCCTCTTCTGGATTCGCTACGCGCAGGTGCCGATCTCACGTGTCGGCAGGCGGCCAACCCTATCGCGGTTGTGCCGTCTCGCGCCTTGCCGAACTCCTTTTCAGGATTCGTGCCTACGGGACTCGTAGCCGACAGCAACCCTGTGACGCTCAGGTGCCGCTCATTCCCTTCGGGATGTTGCGGAGCTGGTGGGTAGCGAAAATCCTCATCTGGTTTCGCTACTCAGGCGCGCGGATGTCATTCCGCGTACGACCAAACCGACGACAGCCGCACCTTCTTCGCGGCGACGCCAGCTTCTTCCTCAGGATTCGCACCAGCGCGCCGCCGGGCGATTAGCAACCCTGTGACGCTCAGGTGCCGCTCATTCCTTTCGGGATGGCGCGGAGCGGACGGGTAGCGGAAATCCTCTTCTGGATTCCCTACTCGCGGGTGCTTGTCGACAGGCGGCCATCCCCATTGCGGTTGTGCCGTCTCGCGCCTTGCCAAATTCCGTTTCAGGTTTCGTACCTGCCTGTTTCGTAGCCATCAGCAACCCTGTGACGCTCAGGTCCGCCCATTCCCTTCGGGATGGTGCGGAGCCGGCGGGTAGCGAAAATGCTCATCTGGTTTCGCTACTCGAGGCGCGGATGCTTGTTTCCGTGGGCGACCCCATCAGCTGTTGCGCTGGCTCGCGCCTTGTTCGGGGTCGCGCAGACAACCAAAGTCCTTTTCAGGTGCACCAGCGTGCGCTGTCCACGGTGGCAACCCTGTGACGCTCAGGTGCCGCTCATTCTATCCTGAACGGCGCGGAGCATTAAAAATTGGCCCTGTCGCCGGGTTCGGTCACATTGCGGGCAGCACGTTGCGCAGGATTCCCATCTTGAGTTGAAACGCCCAGGTGCCGCCCGCTCGGTTTGAGCGAACGGAGCGTGCGCAACGCCGCGGTTCACACAAACTTTCGGTCCATATCGTCAAGTGCGTGGAAGACAACGAGGTGGACCTTAGCGGCTGGCGCGTGCTGTTTCGGACCGACAACACGTGCGCGGTGCACTACACCAATGTGCGTTATGGCGCTATTCCAACTCTTGAAAGGCTTGCCGTGAAGCTGGAGGCGGCAGAGCGCCGCGCCTCTTGCTGGGCCCTTGCTGCGCACATCTCTGGCGTGGCGAACAGGGCGGCCGACCTCGGCTCTCGCGATGTACAGTTTTCCGCCCGGTGGAATTCTGACGTTTTCCGCGCAGCTTGTGTGAAGGATTCGGTTTTCCTCGACATCCTCTCTCGCACGGGCGTGTCTTTCACCTTGGATTTGTTTGCTGACAGGGCGGGTCTTACAGCCAAAGCCCCTTCTTGGCGTTCCCCTGAGCTGTCCGCCTTCGAAGCCACCCTGTCCGGTGAAATCATTTGGGCGCATCCGCCCAGAGAGCTGCTGAAAGCGACGCTTGAGTTTCTGAATTCGGCGTTGCGGAGCTCCGGTCCACCTCAGATTGTGCTTCTCTGTCCAGAAGACGCAGGGGCCCCATGGTTCCGGCCGAAATTACTCCAGCTTTGGCATCGGGTGCGCTCGTGGCCTGCCGTTCCGATTTATTCAGATTTCACTCGGGCTCTGCTTTCCGCAGCGGTCCGAAAACTGACTTGCCTTACTTGCTTCTTCAGAGCTGGGCGCCTAATCGGCGCAAGCGCAAGCGCTAGAAAAATCATCTCAGTCACGCTGATGTTCTAGTCGGTCTTGCCCTGGGAACGTCGCTGCATTCGGGCAGTCATGCCAACGCTGCCAGTCCTCGCAGCGTTTCCAGCATCAGTCCCCAGCAACCCATAGCACTCCACGCAGGCGTCCTCGGCTGAGACATTTCCCAGTATTCCGCCGGCGCTGCCTGTCGCCATGGCCGACGCAGTCCAGGCCGCCATCGCCGCCGCGCTGGAGCCCGCCGGTGCGATCCACTCAGCCATCTTGGCTGAGATCGGGAAGGCGTTTGAGCAGGGCCAGCCAGGCGAGCTGGCCATCGCCGCCGGTGCTGCCGCCGCTGTCAACACGCACGCCTGCGACTGCGTGGCCGCTGCTCTGAAGGACAAGGATTCCGAGGTTTACCAGCTGATCCAGTCCGAGTACGACCGGCGCGCTGACGAAACCTTCCCCTACAGGGCCAAACTGAGCCTGCTTACAGTCGCAGAGTGGGCTGCCGCCTGGCGCGATCTGGTTGTCGACTCGGACCAGGTTTCGTGGACCATGCAGGCGGTGGAGCACAACCCGGTCCTTGCCAACATCATGGCCCTTTCAGCAAGCAATCCCGCGAATTTGGAGCTTCAGGAGTTGAAGCGGGCTACAACGGCACGTTATGCGGCGAAGGTCTCTTGGAAGAAGCTGTGCCTGAGCACCCACGGCGGCTCCTGGGACAAGCTCAAGAATTTCCTCCTGGAGAAATCCGATTCGCCTCTCGAGAACGTGAAGGCGCTAGCCCGTTCGTTGCTCGTGCTGATCAACCTGATCGAACGCCGCTGCACTGTCGTGCAGTCGGCCAAGAAGAATGGCCCTGAGAAAGCTGCCGCCCAGAGGGCAGCGCTGATGGACACGATCTACCAGACGATCAAGCAATACAAGCGGCGCACGACCAAGACCAGTGCTTCGTCCACCCTTGAGCACGAGGTGCTGCTCCGGGATTTTGCGCAGGACATCATCCTGGGCGAGGCGGCGGCGGCATTCGGGGGGCCAATGTCACGTTCGCGTGAGGCGCCGGCTTCTTCGGGCACTCACGCAGCTACGTGTGACACTCCACCGCCGGCAAAGGTTCCCAGGCTCTCCGTCGCCTCCGATGGGCCGGCAGCCTCGGCCTCGCCAAACCCAAGTGGCGACAGGAAGCAGCTGGTGAACCGCCTGCTCCAGGAACTCCTTGGTCTCGTGCAGAAAAAGACGCCCCCCGGCAAACTCCAGTCGTGGATTGACAAGCAGTACCAGGCGGACGACAGTCGCAGCGCCATGATTGTGGTTCTGAGGGATCACGCTTGCAAGAACTGTCTGATGTCCGGAAAAGGCGTGGTCAAGCACACCCTGAAGCAATGCCGAGAGATGAAGAATCTGTGCGCGTTGCCGTGCACCAAGTGCACGGCCTCCGGCAGGACCACCAACCTGCAGCACTGGGTGGCGGAGTGCAAGCACTGATTTCCATCTTCCAGACCAGGCCCCGGCCCTGGCGGCTACCGTTGCGTACCTGGACGTAGCTGTTGCCAGGTCCCAGTCTCCTGCCTTCAGCAGCTTTCGTTGCGTATCTGGGCGTAGCTGCTAGGCGGCCGCGGACTGCGTTGCGCAGTCCGCGCAATCGCTTGCGAAACACCATTACGTGTGCCACTGACAGCGGTGCCGCGGCGTGTCGTGCCCAGCCCGCTTTGCCGATGAAAATTTTTCTTGCCTCTGTGGGGTGTCCGCTCATGTCGCAGGCCCGGCTAGCCGAAGCTCGCCTTTCTGACAGTGGTGTCTGCCCGCGCTACTTGAGCCTCTGTTCCGTAGTCACGTCGGCTCAAACATGGAGGATTACGTTCACAGAAACGATTTCGGAAAGAATGCCACGGGATCCGCTGAGAGCAGCGTCGCCCCCGTCCCCGCTGTTCCGAAAGAGCCAGCCCCTTTGATGAGGCCACGTGGTGCCCTTGCAGCGGGGCCCACTCCACATTCTGCCCCGCCGCCAGGGCGTTCGCCGCAGGCACCTGCTGTCGGCTCTCAGGGTCTTTTGGCTTTCTTGGCCAGTAGCCGTGCGGCGCAGGGCGGCCCGCTCGTGGCCCCCGACCGGTTGGGCGATCGGCGACTCCAAGGCCCGCGCCCAACCTTGCCCTTCCTGTCCGAAGACTGCGCGCCGGCCACGCTGGAGGCACGCCGGAAGGCAGCGGCGGACATCCACGCGTGCTTCAACGCGGCGTGGGAGGACAGCACCAGGACGCGCTACGACAACACGCTCCGCGGCGCGGTGAGCGGTGCGGAGTCGTCCACCCAGATGGCGCTTCTGCCTTGCGACAACGAAGTCAAGCTGATGTTGCTCTTCTCGGGGTTTCTCCGGCGCCCGTGGGGCTCAGTGTGCGCCGCCAAAGCTGCAGTCAGGGCTTGGCACCTCGAACGTGATTTGCTGCAGTCCTTCGAGGCCGCGTGGACCCCCCGAGCCTGGCATTTCTGGCGTGGTCTTAAGAAGCTGGCTGATCATTCGCTCCGCCGAGCGAAAAGACCGCTCTCGCTGTTGGAGATCACATCAGTGCAGCGGAGTCGCCTGGCACAGGCTTCTGTCGCTGGCGTGAGGGATGCGGCCATGATAGCTTTGGCTTTTTTCGGCATCCGCCGCTTTGCGGAGCTGCAGGCGCTCGTGATGTCTGACGTGGTGGACCAAGACACAGCGTTCCAATTCAGGATCAGGAGGCAGAAAAACGATCCGTTCGGTAAAGGCCTGCTCGTCTGGGTGCCCGAGATCCAGGCTTTGGGGCCGCTGTGTCCGACGAAGTTGCTGCGGAGCTGGCTACGTCTACGAGCCGAGACGCGCGGGGACGTCGAGGGTTTTTTCTTCTGCGTGACAGGGGTGGCCGATCTCAAGCCTGTTTCCGCCGACACATTCCGGCGCATGCTCGCTCGTCACCTCAACGACGCACAGGTGGGCAGCCACTCCCTGCGGAAAGGCGGGGCGCAGTGGTGGAAGAACGCAGCGTCCCTGCCCGAAGAGCTTGTGCAGGGCCAGGGCGGCTGGTCTTCCATCGATGTGATGCGGAACTTCTACACGAAGTTTTCCGCAGCAGCTAGGAAAGAGCGCCTGCTGGAAGCCGCCGCCCGTGCTGCGTGCTCGGTTGCACAGCCGTCTGCGTGCCGACCGGCGAATTTGGATGCATTGCCGGTCTGGCAACGTCCAATGTGATTCCTTTGTGCTGCGCAATGAAAAACATTGAGACGGCTTGGCATCCTGCGCTGGCGTCCCCGTCGGTCCACGCTTCGCGCCATCCTCCCGGACGTGTGCCTCGTGGGGGTAGGTGGCTCTCCTCTTCTGGAGGCGCTGCCGTGGCCTGCGGCAGAAGCAGCACTCCCAAAAGAGCCACATCCGTGGCAGAAGGAGTTTTGTACATTCCTTACGCTTCGCGTCCCTCCCGGCCGGGTGCCCTTGTCTTGGGTTTCCCCGGGGCCCTTGCGGCCTATGGGGGCTGACAAATATGGCGGTGTAAAGCGGAAATCGTTTTTTCTTAGGAGGCTGTGCATTCGGGAAATGTGGTTTTCGCGGCCACCCCATCTCATTCGTTTTCTACGCGCGCAGGCCTGGGAGGCGGCGCTGCGCGTCTCGCGGTCCCGCCCTCCCTCCCTGTGTGGCGTGACGTGCTGGTCGCAATCCGCTTCCCTTCGGGGGGGTAGGTGGCTCTCCTCTTCTGGAGGCCCTGCCGTGGCCTGCGGCAGAAGCAGCACTCCCAAAAGAGCCACATCCGTGGCAGAAGGAGTTTTGTACATTCCTTACGCTTCGCGTCCCTCCCGGCCGGGTGCCCTTGTCTTGGGTTTCCCCGGGGCCCTTGCAGCCTATGGGGGCTGACAAATATGGCGGTGTAAAGCGGAAATTGCGCTCGGACGGCCCGCCTGGGCGGCGAGCGCGGAATTGCGCCGAATCGCCCGTCTGGGCGCGCGAGCGCGAAATTGCGCTCAAATGGCCCGCCTGGGCGCGCGCGCGCGTAATTGCGCCCCGATCGCCCGTCTGGGCGCGTGAACACAGAATTGCGCTCAAACGGCCCGTCTGGGCGCGCGAGCGCGGAATTGCGCTCAGATGGCCCGCTTGGGCGCGTCAGCGCGGAATCGCGCCCGGATCGCCGTCTGGGCGTGCGAGCGCCTGGGCGCGCGAGCGCGGATTTGCGCCTGGATTGCCCGCCTGGGCGTGCGAGCACATAATTGCGCTCGAACGGCCTGCCTGGGCGCATGAGCGCGGAATTGCGCTCGGATGGCCCGCCTGGGCACGCGAGCGCGAAATTGCGCCCAGATCGCCCGTCTGGGCGTGCGCGCGCTGAACGAATGGCCCCCCTGTGCGCGCGAGCGCGGAATTGCGCTCGGATCGCCCGCCTGGGCGCGCGAGCGCGGAAGTGCGCTCAGATGGCCCGCCTGGGCGCGCGAGCGCGGAATTGCGCCCAGATCGCCCGTCTGGGCGCTTGAGCACAGAATTGCGCTCGGATGGGCTGTTTGGGTGCGCCAGCGCGGAATTGCGCTCGATTGGCCGGCCCGCCTGGTCGCGCGAGCTCCTGCTCGGAGGGCCCGCCTGGGCGCGCGAGCGCGGAATTGCGCCCGGATCGCCTGTCTGGGCGCGAGCGCAAAATTGCGCTCGGATGGCGCGCCTGGGCGCGCAAGCGCGGAATTGCGCCCAGATCGCCCGTCTGGGCGCGTGCGCACAGAATGGCAGCCGAATGGCCCGTCTAGGCGCGCGAGCGCGGAATTGCGCTCGGATGGCCCGTCTGGGCGCGCGAGCGCGGAATTGCGCTCAAATGGCACACCTGGGCGCGCAAGCGCGAAATTTTGCCCGGATCGCCGTCTGGGCGTGCGAGCGCCTGAGTGCGCGAGCGCGGATTTGCGCCCGGATTGCCCGCCTGGGCGTGCGAGCACATAATTGCGCTCGAACGGCCCGCCTGGGCGCATGAGCGCGGAATTGCGCTCGGATGGCCCGCCTGGGCACGCGAGCGCGAAATTGCGCCCAGACCGCCCGTCTGGGCGCCCAGATGGCCCGTCTGGGCGCGTGAGCACAGAATTGTAGCCAAATGGCTCGTCTGGGCGCGCGAGCGCGGAACGCACGCGGTTCGCCCGCAACCGCGCGAGATTGCCTCTTCCTGGGTGCAAGGGCGAGATCGCACCCGGACAGGGGGCCCTGCACGCCCAGATTACCTTACCGGGCGCTGCGACGAGCGGCAGTCGCCAGCAAGGGCGCGAGCCAGGGCATGGCAGCAAGGCCAAAAACCCCTTCACGACGAGGAGCGGGCGCGAGACGGTGAACGCATGGCGACAAGGAGCGGGGGCGGAC